AAGGGACCCCCCGAGTGCACAAATTTTTGTGCACTAGGCCTCTAGTTGAAATATAATTGACATACAATAAAATATGCAACTTAATAAATTTTAACATATGTACATACCAATGAAACTATCACTTCAACCAAGATAATGAATGTATCCTCATGCCCCCTATGTAATCCTTCCTTCCCATTCTGCCCATTTCCCCCTGCTCCAGTCCCCAAACAGCCACTAATCTGCTTTTTGTTAATATTGATTAGTTTGCATTTTTATGGTTTAATTAATGGAATCAAAGAAGAGTATGTACTCTTTTTTGCCTCTTTTAATTAAGCCTAATTATTTTTATATTCTCCTGTGTTGTTGATGTAAATCAGTAGTTCATTGCTAAGTAGTATTTCATTGTATGGTTATACCACAATTTATCCACTTGCCAGTTGGTGAAAATTTGGATTGTTTCCAGTTTGGGGCTATTACAAATAAAGTTTCTATAAACATTATGTGCAAATCTTTATATGACCATATGCTTACATTTCTCCTGGATAAATTCTAGGAGCAGAATTTCTAGATCATATGGTAAATGTACATTTAATATTTCTAGAAACTGCCAAACTGTTTTCCAAAGTAGTTGTACCATTTAACATTGCAATATAACAGTGCAGTTACTCCACATCCTCACCAATACTTAGTGTACAGTCTTTTTAATGGGAGTCATTCCAAGTGTCCGGTGGTACCTCATTGTGATCTTAATTTGCATATTCCTAATATTAATGTTGAGCATCATTTCATGTGTTTACTTGAACACATACCTATTTTGGTGAAGTGTCTGTTTGAATCTTTTGCCCATTTTTTTAATTGAGTGGGTTTCTTATTGAGTTTTGAGTTCATTTTTGTGGATGGTATGAGTATGGTTTAAAATTCATATGGATATCCAGTTGTTCCAGTACCATTTATTCAAGACTATCCTTTTTCCTCTGAATTGCCTTTGCATCTTTGTCAAAACCTGTTAACCATATATGTGGGGGTCTCTACTTATGGACCTATTCAGTTCCAATGATCTTTTTGTCTATTTGTCTATCTTGATACCAGTATCATATTAACTTGGTTACTGCAGCTTTTTAATAACTCATGAAACCTAGTAGTATAAGTCCTTCAGCTTCGTACTTTTCAAAATTTTTTGGGGTCCTTTGAATTTTCATGTGAATTTTAGAATCTGCCAATTTTACCCCCCACCTCCACCCAGTAAATCTGCTGAGATTTTCATTGGGATCATGTTAAATCCAGATCAATTTCGATTGGAGAAAAGTAACTGTTAACAATACTGAGTCTTCTGATTCATGAATACAGTATATCTCTCTATTTGTTTAGGTCTTTTAAAAAATTCTCAAAAATGTTTTATAGCTTTCAGTGTTAAAGGTCTTATACGTCTTTTGTCATATTTATCCCTAATATTTCATATTTTTAATGCTATTGTAAATAGTATTTTGAAATTTCTGGATTGTTCATTGCAAGTATGTACAAATACACTTTTACTTCTTTTTCAACCTGTGTACCTTTATTTCTCTTCCTTGTTTTCTTGTACCGACTAAGATCTTCAGTACAATGTTCAAAAGAATTAACAGTGGATGTCCTTTTCTTGGGGAAAAAGCATGTGGGTACTCACCAGTGTGTGTGTGTGTGTGTGTGTGTGTGTGTGTGTGTGTGTGTGTGTGTGTGTTAGCTTTAGGTTTTTCGTAGATAAAATCAGGATATTAGAAGTTCCTTTCTGTTCCTTGATTGCTGAGAGTTTTTATTAGAAATAGATGTTGGATTTTGTTAAATGTTTTTATCTGCATCCATTGAGATGATCTTATATTTTTACCTTTATTCTGTTAATTGGTTATTACATTGATTTTTGAATGTTAAGCACAACTTTGCATCACTACAAATTTCATAAACATTAAAAGGATAATAATAAAATAATACTATGAACAACTCTATGCCCCAAACTTGATAACCTAGATGAAATGGACAAATTCCTTGAAATATATAATCTTCCACAACTCACTTCAGAAGAAATAGACAATCTGAATAGGCATGTATGTATTAAAGAAATTGAAGCAATAATAACCTTCCAGGACGGAAAGCACCAGGCCCAAATGGCACTGGTGAATTCTACCAAGTGTTTGAGGAAGGCATTATATCAGTTCTGTACAATCTCTTTCAGAAGATATAAGCAGAGTGAATACTTCCTAATTTACTCTGGGAGGCCAGAATCACCATAATACCAAAACAAGACAAAAATATTATAAGAAAATAAAACACACAATTTCATAACTAATATGAGTTTATTAGGTAGGCTTTTTTGGTAATATTGTAAACCATTTGCTTCAGATTTAAGTGTGATCTTTACTCTCCTTATGTTTAGTGATTTCACAATAAGGAAAATTTCTATTTTAAAGGTATGCCAGTATTTTTCAAATCTCAATAAAATGAAGTAACTTATATTAAGATAAATTTTAACAAAATATTAGGAGATTGAATCCAACAGTGTATAAAAAGAATTGCACATCATGATCAAGTAAGATTTATTCTAGTTATACAAAGCAGGTGTAATATTCAGAAACCAGTTAATGTAATCCATCACATCAAAGGTTAAAGAAGAAAAAGCACATGACTATATCAATAGATGCATTTGGCAAAATCTAACATCTATTCGTGATAAGCTCTCAGCAAACTAGAAATAGAGAGGAACTGTTTCAACTTCATAAAGAAAAATGCAAATTAAAACTCCAATAAAATACCACTATACTACAAATCTATCAAAATACCTAAAATTTAAAAGATTGACAGTATCAATTTGTTGAAGATGTGAATCAACTGGAACTCTGATTCATGGCTGGTGGGAGTATAAATTGGCACAACTTTTTAAAAATTGCTTCACCATATCTACTAAAGCTAAACATACAGTTCTACTCCTAGGTGAAATGAGTGCATATATCTATCAAAAGACATGTATATACATGTTCATAGGAACTTTGTTTATAATAGCCAAAACTACAATCAGCCTTGTATAGCCACCAAAGGAGACGGGAAGGTATAGTGTGTTCATATAATGGAACATCAACCAGTAATAAATAAATGAAAAAAGAATGAACTTCTGTTGCATGCAGTAACAGAGAGTAATCTTACACTGTTGAATGAAAGAAACCAGGCAAAAAGAATACATGCTGTTATGAGTGTATCTATAGGAAATCGAAGAACAGGAAAAATGAATTGATGACAGCACTGGGGTGAAGGTAGTATCAACTTTGTAAGGGGCATGAGAGTGCTTTTTGGGATACTGGAAGTAATCAGGGTGGTGGTTACTACAATGGTATACAAAATATGCTTATAACTGCTTATGAGATTCAATTAAATTATGATTTTTGCAATCTGGTTGGCATCATATGGGTAGCTTGAAAATGGCCAGGATAGGAATTTTTGGTTTTTTTGTGTGTTTGTTTGTTTGTTTTTGTTTGTTTGTTAATCCTCACCCAAGGATATTTTTCCATTGATTTTTAGGGAGAGTGGAAGAGAGAGGGAAAGACAGAGAGAAACATCGGTGTGAAAGAAACACATCGATTGGTTGCCTCCTGCACGAGCCCCGACCAGGGCCTGGGCGGGGAGGACCCTGCAACCACCGTACATTCCCTTGACCAGAATCAAACCCGAGACCCTTTGGTCCACAGGCCGACACTCTATCCACTGAGCAAAACCAGCTAGAGCCAGCGTAGGAATATTTACACCATGAAAATAAGCAGATGCTTTTACAATTGGGGAGAGTTAACTAGCTGATAAACTCTTACCAGCACACCGCTCCTTATTGCTTATCAGTCCTTGGCCTCTAATTGTAGAAGAACCCTAGAGGTACAGAGAGAGGCTAAGGCCAGGGAAGCACTGAGGAATGGTCTGGTTCAGCCTCAGCCTAGGAGAGTTAGCAGTGAGAAAGTAGCATGCTATTGGGCATGCCTCAGCTCTAGTGAATATTGCTTTGATTATGTATGAAATCAACTGCCCAGTATTTGACTTTTTCATCCTGCCTTTAATTCAAATTAAGTTTTTTTCTCTGTGTTCTTGAAATAGCTAAATGATAGAGAAAATTACAGGATAACATAGCCTTTTCATAGACTCCTTTTGACATGTTACTGAATTTGTCCTTTTGATTCTGAGTAGTTCAGAAGTTTCTGTTTCTGCTTCTTTAGGAGCATTCTGGAAGAGTTTTCCGACTCCAGTTTGATGAATTCCAGATTGTCAGTAGTTCACACGATGATACAATCCTCATCTGGGACTTTCTAAATGATCCAACTGCCCAAGCTGAACCCCCCCGCTCCCCTTCTCGAACATACACCTATATCTCCAGATAAATAATCATATACTGACCTCATACTTGCCCAGGTATGAAAAAGAACTGTGTGCATGGCACTGTGGGTAGGAGATGGAATGTTGGCTGTAAGGTGTTGCTAGTTCATGGAGCTTCTCATGTCCTTTATCTTTCCAAGTCCTGTAAAGCAAGGGAAGCTGCCACCATGAGACAGGACTGGGGCTGCATATTGGATGCTGCCTTCATCAAGGAAGCCAGCCTCAGTTCTAGATGATTCTGGAATTAGATCTAGATGACCCTTGTGCAATAGAACTAATAATTCCTGCCCCAGTTATCTAATAGAATTGTTCAGAAAGTAAGAGATTTAGCCTTGGCTGGGCAACTCAGTTGGTTAGATCATCATCTAGATACGCCTAGTTACAGGTTCCATCCCAGGTCAGCCCGGTAAGGGCACATACAAGAATCAACCAATGAATGCATAAATAAGTGGAACAACAAATCAATGCTCTCTCTCAAAAAAAATTTTTTTTAAATAAATAAAAATTCAAAAAACTTTCAAAAGAAAGATTTGAATTAGTTTCAAAACTAAGAGTAATGACTCAAAAGCCTGTGGCTTTGTAGTTCCCAGATTAAACCGGTACCTATAATTAAAGACCCGTTAAATCAAGTAGGTAGTCAGATGTACCAATGGGAAAATCTCATGGTGAATAAGCTGGCCTCTCACAGCTCTGTTAGTGTCATTGGATTTTAAAAAGTTAGCTTTTTAAAATCCTTATCCCCACTCCCCACCTCCTCTAAAAATGAACTGTCTTTTGACCTTGGAAGTGGCTCTGAGTTGGTGAGAACTCCATGTGTTCTCCCACTCAAGTCTTCATCCTCCCTCGGAGGCAGGAAGAGATCCTAAAATTCATCTTTATCTATTTGTGGTATATTCACATACATGAGGTGATGGTTGTTTAGGGGAAACTGCACTACTGCTGGGAGCCTTGCCATCATTGTGATTTCTCATTTCCCACACTTGCCTCGATGCTTGTGAAGGAAGTGCACATTTAGTACACTTTTCTGCACATCTTTTTACATGGTTCTTCTGAGTGGGTGGTTTGTGCCCTGCGGGGCTCATATCAGTGCTCACGTCTTACAGAGGACATGCTGCTTCCTCATCCCTCAGCCTCCTCAACCAGGTCACACAGCACACCTTGGTGAGAATTCTAGCTGTGTGCGCTTGGGCAAGTAACTTCCCACAGCCTTAGTTTCCTTATTAGCAAAATGAGGGTTGCAGTACATAGTACACAGAGCTGTTGTGAGGGTTGCATTGAAATGTTATGTGTAAAATTCTTAGTGCTTGGCACAATGCCTAGCACCTAAGAAGTCCTTACTAAAAAGTGGTTTATTAATGTTAATATTGTAATCATGTTACCTTTCCCCTCCTTTTGCCAAAATTTTCTGCTCCTGAGTTTTCTATGGCATTTTGCCATATTTAATATTGTTCCTGATGCTCTTACAGCTTATGTCTCCTTCCCCTCTCACCCCTAAGACATACACACACATCCCATAGGAGTCTGTCTCAGGCCTTTCTTCCTTATCTAAGCTCCCTTCTTTGGCTGCCTTGTCTCTTCCCAAGGCTTCAGCTCTCATCTCAGTGTAGATGACTCTCAAATTTGTATCTCTAGTCCCAACCTCTGCCTTAGTCTCCAAGCCACATATCCAGCCACCACCTACACATCTGTCTCTGAAGACACCCACTGTAGTCACTCTGTGTAAGCATAGTGGCCCTTAACATGACAGTGAGCCCCCTGCCAAGTCCCCAGACAGACCATGTAGCCTTTAACGGAAGCTCCTGCTGGTCACAGGCCAAGAGCAGGCATTACAAAGGACCTCTGAGCCTTTCTCCTATTTGACAGCTAAGTTAGTTCTTTTTCTCATAGAGCAAGTGAGAAATACAGGGAAAGGGACTAATGATTATTTGCTCTGTTTTCACACAGGACTCATTAAAGTTGCGGTATTTAACGTATCTGCCAATACCAGGATGAGCAACAACAGTAACAATCAAAATATTACCCACTCTCCCCGGACTAGCCGAGGAGTGGGGCTTTGAGACTCCTGTTGGGACACAGTGGTCTGCAGTCGACTCAGGAGGGTCTACTCAGCACAGCTGACTGCTTCCGTGCTGCTATCAGATGTCTTTTATCTTTCGTGAATGATTAGAACTTTTAAACCTCACCTCACTTCCCCTCCTCCTTTCCCCTGTGCACCTGTTTTTTCCTCATTTGGTTCCAGACAAAGATGACTTATAAATATATTTAATGTTTTGCCAGAATCTCTCTTGCTTTGCCGTTAAGCAGAAGAACTAGTTTCCCTATATACCTGCTGGGAGAGACCCACTTCTAGGGGAGAGGGGGATACAACTTCAAGCCAGACAGCGCCCAGTGTCTCCCTGAGAACTACAGGAATGCCCAGCGCCTGGCAAGCTCAGCGAGCCCCACTGTGCTTAGGAGACAGCGCTCCTGTATAGCCTCTGGGGCAAGAAAGAGAGACAAGAAGAATGAGCACACTTGACGATCTGGGCCTCTTTCCTCCATCTCTTTTCTCTGTTTCTGTCCCTCTTCCCCCTCCCTCCACCCCTTCAACCTGTTCTCTGCTCCACCTGAGAAGAACAAGGATGAAGAGAGTGTCCTCAGTTAGCATGAGGCAAATCGGCTAGAAAATGCAACACTTGGAAGAGTTAAATGCTGTTCAGTTAAAATTTCAAACCGAGGCTGTTGCTGCAAGTGACCCTATATGACAACAATGCGTTTTCAGACATGGTACTTTCATCATATTTGCAACTCTCCTCTCTTCTCCTTCTAACATCCTCTCCCCAAAAAGGGGGGCAGAAATTTCCTGGGCTCCATCAATGGCCACATCTTTCTGGACTCAGCAGTCTCCTCGATTCCATGTAGAGTGTGAAAAGGAGCTGCTGATTGCATTTCCTCTCATTAACAATTAGATGTGTAATAAAAAGCATTGTACTTCATCTTAAATCACTGGTAAGGCTCAGCCCACAGAAAGGCTTGAAATGGCCGGAGCCAGTCGCTTGGTACATACTGCATAATTTCACGTCTCAGATTTCCTCATCAGGGCCTGTGAGCACCCAGGCACCTGTATCTTTGCCAAGACCACCATCAGAGTAGCTTAAGAGGTGGTCGGGATTAAAAGTTCATTTCTTTTTCATTTAGGCCAGTAAATACCATTTCCAAAAATTGAGCTAGTCATCTCAACCTTGCACTGCAGACCCTTCCTTCTGCTTTTCCCAAACCTGGTATTTTCAAAGGGCAAAGCTGCCAGAGAGCGCAGATCAGGGTGAAGTTTGGCACACAGGGTTTATTACTGGGGCAGAAACTGCCTTCGCTTTCCTTTTCTTCCTCTTCCTGGTCATATGTTACTCTCCACTCTCCCCAACCAATAACTCTGGGAGTTAGTTAATAACATAAACAAATGGACCTCAGCAAGGGCCAGGCTGACCCGGTCACTTGGAAGGCAGCTGTGTGGGATTCAGGTGCAGGCACCTGTGCCACCCAACCTGGGAGCACAGGGAATAGAACCAGCATGGGGGTGGGAGTGGGCCTGCGCCAGCCATTCCTGGTGGCCTGGGTACACCCATCAAAAGCCCGAGGCCACAGTACAGTCTCACATTTCCCTTGGAAGCTGAGCTGTCTGGCCTGTTGTTTCCATTCCTGATCAAAGCAGTTGAGCAAAAGAAAGCCCCTTTTTAACTGGCGGCTGTAAGAACAGCGGAATGGGAGCCAGTTGCAAGTAACCTCAAAGCTAGGCCACCTTTAGTTCAGCAAAAGGGGAGGCAAGAGAAAGCCGTCTTCCCTCTGATTTGTAAAAAGGTATCCCCTTCCTAAAATGTACCCAGACTGAATGTTGTTATTACAGATTAAGAGGCAGGTTATGCATATGCATTTTTCTTTCCTGCTTTATGAGTGCTTTTAAGCTTTTAGTTCCAGGTTATATTCAGAAAGTATTTCCCAGTGTAATGATGTCATTGCCTAGGAAATATTTTTTGAGAATAATTCCTTTCCCTACTACCCATTCTACAGAGAAATGTTTTCTATCTAGTTGCTTCTCATGGTTCCTTGTCCATTGTGTTGACTATTAATGCCTTTTTGATTGGTTGAGGGTTTTGCTACAGATGAGGCACAAGACCATCAGCCTGAAAGACACATAGCTCAGGCATTAAAGAGGCATGGATTTTAAGCTGTTTAAAAATATTGTCCAATAGCCATAACTTTACTAGCCCTTCTGTTATATGCTGCTGTTCTAAAGTGAGAGCTGTTGAATATTCATTGGTGCACGGGTTTTCCTCTCCCATCGAAGTTCACTTGAAGGTAGATGGTTTTTAAGACTGTGCTGAAGCCTGTCCAGTACATCAGAAGTGATATCGAGGTGGGCCCTTCAGCCTGGAGCGGTTAGCTCTGTGGAGTATATTCCCCAAGTTGTCCTCTGCTCTGATGGAAATGGGAATGAAGTTAAGTGGTCTGAAAAACTTGAGTCAGTCACATTTCTCAGCTCGGGGGGTCATTTACCAGTTCATTGTAGAAGAAATAATCAGGTAAGTAAAAGTTCATTTCCAGAGAAAGTAAACCCCACTTACCATCTCTGCATGATTTCAGTGGGAATTGATTATCACTAATCCCCAACTGGGCTAGAATAAATGTAAAGTTTGACCTTTTTAAAAAAGAGAAACAAAGAAAGTCTCAACACATTTAAAGGAATGGTAGAAAAGGAGCTGCAGGTGTCTCTGGGCTCTGAAATGAAATGTCTCCATTGTAGATCAGTCTCTTCTCACTAAAATTCCAATGTGGTTTGAAAGAAATGTTCCTTAAAGACAGGAGGAAGCCCCTTCAAAGGTGGGCAAGGAGTGTGCGCTCACACCTGCACCTGGGAGCTCTGTGGGCACGTGTGAGCTCTGCTCACACTGGGGCTGCTTGGACAACACCAGCATGCCTTGCACGTGTGTGTCTTTCCACCGCTGAGAACATCCTTTCACTCTCTTATGTGCAGTCTGAAAGCAGGTGTGGATTGTGGATGGGAAGCCTTTTACACTGTCCCTTGGCAAAATCCTGGTGACTCTTTGTCAGAAACTCTAGAGACAGGGCCTCTCTGGAACTCTGTTGACAGATAATCAAGCCTGGCCCTCATCACTTGTTTCTGAACTGGAAAAGACCCTGGGACCCCTAAATCATTCTGCGTTCTGCTTGAGTAAGAAAAATCCTGTTTTGTTTTGTTTTTGTAAAATCAAAAGCTGAAGAGAAGAAAACATGCACTCTTCTCCTGGCCGTCGCTTGCTACCCACTGGTCTGAGCACTGGGGCTGGTGTCCTTATCTAGCATTTGATTGTGTGTGGAAACAAAAGGCTTGGGGTGGAGGGGGTGGGGAATATTGGAAATAATGAGGGCATTTTTTCTTTCCTAGAATTAAATTATATGACATTGGTATCATTGACCTTCTTGGTGTCCTCCATTTACCTTAGAAGGTAATACCTTCCTGCCCGAGGTGAGAGCAGTCCAACCCAGAAGGGTGCCGGCCTGAGGGCGAGGCTGCAAGCGTGGTTATGGAGGAATCCAAGTACTTTTCCGGAGAAAAAGGGATGCTTAGATAGCCACCTCCTGTGACCATCACATTCTCTGATGATCAGGTTTACTATTTGACTTAAACCCACATTTCTGATCTCCTTCCCCATTTAGATGAGTTCAGACTTTCCAGGTGCTGCAGAACATGAAAAGGTGCCCTGTTTCTCCTCCCTTCCTCTCTTCCCTCCTAGAGTAACTCTCACTTTATCATGGGCCCCCAGAGCCTGCAGGTTAAGTCCTCCCTGGGCTCTATCCACACAGCCATCTCTTAGGGGAATAAGGCTGCGTTCTGCTTCTTGTTTTTACTTGTACTTCATTTGTGACTTCCAAATTATTGGGACTGAGAAGAGAAACCAAAAGAGCATGATTATGGCAACCTGATTTCAAGTGGAACTTAATGCATTGATATCCTGAAACCTTTTCTATGGAAGTTGAGTACCTATGATTAGGTACTAAAGTTTCCTGGAGGCAGATGGCATCAAACTATGTGCTCTACAGCCCACCCAGCTGGCTCTCTCAGCTCCTGATTCGTGTGTGCATGTAAGGATGAGTGTGGTAAATAGCATTATAAAGCGTCGCCTCCCCTCCATCCCTTCCCTTCTTGAAGGAAAAAAACAAGAATGTTTAGACCTCTAGGTACCAAGGAAACTAACACCTTCCCAAATCAGTGATGGCTCAAGCCCAACCCAGACTGTTCTGAGGGGTGTTCACTGGACTCTAACCATGGGGCAGGCCCGGCAGCCATTGTGAGCGCCCTGAGGCTTCCAGTTGGTCCCGCCCTTTGTTCTCTGGACTCTTAAGTGCTGACTGCTTTGACTTTTGTGACTCTGTTTTGGTGATGTGTAGTCAATGTACCAATATGTTCACAACCTAGAATCATGGTAATATAGTGTGTTTTGGTTTTTTTTTTTTTAACTGTTCAGAAAAAAGTAACTTAAATTACAAATATAAGATTAAAGTGAATTTTCCAGTGTCTTGTCTCTTTGCCCCAACGTCAGTAGGACAGTGAGTTTTTCAGTATACAAGTTGAAGGAATGCGAGAAAACAACATTGAGAGAAGTCAGGGCCAAATGGCGTGAATAAATATGGGACCTCTAGCATATAATTAATGCTCCATGTTGAATTAAATCGAAGCCAAACTGATGTCTAATTTGGGTACAGGTCCCCATAGCCTCCTCAGCTTACCACAACCCTACCCACACCCAGGACTGTTAAGTTCTCCTCTGGAAGACTTGTAGGTGAGCTCACTCCTCTGGAGCAGTTTTCAGAGACTCCAGCACACTGTAAAAATAAAGGGGGCACTGACCATCTGGGAGAACCCCACCTGCCTTCTCTCCTGAAACCAAACCTGGGGAAGTAGGCACAAGGTTACACACCATCTCCCTCTTCTCCTCCCCTCCTGGAGTCATGACAGCATTCTCAGACTGTGAGACCACAGGGCCCCCGTGCAGAGCTCTCCCTGCTGGAGCTGAAGGCATAGCAGAGCATCAGGTGCACCCAGCGTGTTTGCACATGGGGAACCTGCACAAGAACGGGTGCTCCCCACACTGCCCACGACCAGACTAGATCTACCTAACAACTGAGGGCAGGAAGGGAGGAGTCAACAGTGACCACTCGGGTCCCTGGCATCTAATCAGTTGTCACTCGCCAGTTGGGCAGTACTGAGCAGAGGCTGGGCCAGGGGGGTTACCGTCTCACCTTCAAACCCAGTGTCAGCTTCCTCCAGGATGGCTGGGGTGGAGGGCACGTCCCTGGAAGACTCAGCCCTGAGGTTACTGTTTCCCAAAGCCAGGCTAGGCCTGGAATCCTCTCCCCCTGAAACCTATAGCTGCGCCACCATTGACAATGACGAAGGGGAGGAGACCTCTCTTCTTTCTGATTGGCTCTTGCCAATTAAGAGCATTTTATTAGGCTGCTAATTAAAGGCACTTCGTTAGCAGCAGGAGAGGCCGGGTGGGTGCCTGGTGAGATGGAGCTGAAGCCAGGAGAAATCGTTTTCTTCCCCCCATGGAAGCAGAGCCTCTTAGGGAACCCTCTCAGTCCCCCAACCTTTCCCGCTGCGCCTACCACACCCCTTGCTTTCAATTAGCAGCTCTGAGGGGAGTGAGGTCATTACCAAGCCCAGGTGGAGAGCCCTCCCCTGCCTCAGGCCACACGCCCTGGCAGGGGAGGGCTGTTCTGTCCCCACACACCTTGTTTGGTGTCTGAGCCGCCCTAGTGGTGCCCTGGGGTTGTGTTTGTTCTCCCCACTGAGGACTGGCCTCCCATGGGTCCCATGTCTGAACCCATCACTAGCAGCCACCTAGTAAATAGGATGACCAGTCACTTGGTCACATGGCGTGAACCTCCTTGTCCCTTTCTGCACCAAAGGCTCACAATGTTATTGGGAAATGTGACC